GTTTTTCCCCTACTTGCATGTTTAACAATTTGTTTATGAATCTTTTGCTTTACATTGGAGTCATTTATTGTGAATATCATTATCTTTGTTCTGCTTTTTTCAGTCTGCATCAGCTCTTAACAAATCTAATCACTGACTGTTCTCTGAATTCTTTATAGCTATCATTTCTTATTATCCAACAATATTTTGGTATATTATAACACAGATTTTTTTTAGCCATGCCCCAGTCCATGGATACTCACTTTATTTCAAGTTCTTTGATATCAAAAAAAGTACCATTGTGAATAAATATTTTGGCATGTATTAGACTTCTGTTTCTGTCTTTGACTTCCTTGGGCTATATGTCCCATATGGGACAATGGGTATGAATGACTTTTAAAAAAAGTCACTTTTCTTGATTAATTTCAGTTGCAGATGTTATGATAGTACAGGCTGGTCAAGCTTCATTTTACTACTTAAAAACAACAAATATACATCTGAAAAAGGATTTTAAAAATTAAATCTAGCTTGGTTAGGCTACCATCAACTCCATCAATGCAACTTTTACCACTTTCATTATCTTTCCCATTCAGACCTGTGCTTCCATTAGTATAGGGAACTCCCATTAAGGAGATTCCCTCTATCAGTATGGATCCGCAAATGTCCAACTTAATAGTTTATTAAGAGAGTTACCTAGGGCTCTGACAGGTTATGTGGTGTCTCACTGTGTATCAGAAGTGGATTTTCTTTGCTACCAGCCAAACTCCTGCTCCATAAGGTTATGTAGGGAAATAAAAGTTTACATAAAGTGTAAATATTCACTAACGAAGTTACCACTTGTGAAGTTAGCCCCTACTCAAACATCTCTCAACTTAACACTTTCCTGTCTTCTTATATCATATAGTCTTCATTCCACCAACACTGGCCTCCTTGTTGTTCCATGCACAAGGCACTCTTATCTCTTGGCTCCTGGTTTTTTCCTAGGTGCCCTACATGTCTAGAATTCTCTTCATTTCTATCTGTTGGTTTCCCTGACTTCCTTTAAGTCAACTAAAATCCATCTTTCCCAACCTCTCTTAATCTTATTGCCTTCCCTTTTTAAATTATTTTGTATTTATCTTGCACATAGCCTTTTTGCATATATTTGTTTGCTTGTGGTATCCTATGTTAGATTGTCAGCTCCTTGAGGGCAGAGACTGTCTTTTGCTTCTTTCTGTATTCCTGACAGCGCAATGCCTGGCACATAGTAAGTGCTTAATAAATGTTTATTGACAGTCAACTGACAAAATACATCCCTAAATTCTTTAGGTCAGTCTCTAATAAGGAGAATTCCAGCCAAATTCCCTGAGGAGTGGATTGAGGGTGGATGGAGGGAAGGGGAGCCCTTTGGCCATAGAATTTTCCCTCCCTTCTCCCACCCTTCCCTCTCCATTCGGCTGGTAGAGGACCTTGTGTGCTTCAAAGGATCCTAAGGATTTTAGATTTCTGTTGGCAGTGTCTTCACTGGGAACCAGTCATGACCTTCTGCTGGAATCTCTACCAGATATTCAAATAACTTGGGTTCTAAACCATCCTTCTTGTTTATAGATGAGTCACAGGGCATGACTAAGTTTCCTCAGCCAATTTGAACACTTTGGGTCAATGTCACTCCATTTACTGCATATTTTTATTGGTAATTGTTTTTCTAGTATCTGGGCATCTTATCACTTCAGGTAGTGGGGCAACTTGCTTTATACTCAACCAACTCTACTTTTACATTTAGTTTGATTATTCGAGGTGAAGTCCTCAATAGGACCACATTTTCAGTATTTACTCTGAAAGATTTAGTTCCCCAGTTTTAACTGGATTCGCTTTAAGTGGTCTTTTCAGGTACCAGTGGTTCCCAGCTAAGAAGAACTTCTTGTATTCTATTTATTTGTGTGTATGTTGGAATTCCTAGCCGGTCCTCCAATAGAATGAAAGCTCCCTCAGGCCTGGGACTGTATTTTTGCCTGTTTGTATCCCACCCCCCAGCACCCAGCACAGCTCAGGTGCTTAATATTTGTTGTTTTGAATTGAAGGTATTTCAGACTGCATCCTAGTCAACGACTTCTCCTTAAAGAGGAGACAACTGAGGAAGGGGGTTAAGGGTAGGGGTGGGGGTGGTGGAATTGAACACAGTTGGAATTTAAACCCCGGTCCTCCAGGTTGAGCGCTCTTAACACACACCACCAGTGGCTTGTTACTGCCGGCTGCTGGGGAAGGTAGAAGTGGGGAGAAGGCCAGATGGGTGCTTTTTGATGGCCGAGAAGGGAAGAGGATAAGCGATTAGAGATCGTCTAGTCCAAAGGAGGAAACTGAGATCCAGAAATTTAAAGGCCTCCCTGAGTGGGGGGGGGGAATGGAGTGGGGGGGGTGCTGACGCTGAACTGCATCTCAGAGGGAAATGCACGCAATTGAGCAAGACGACCCCTAGGGCGAGTGTCGGTGACCACTAGATGACCTCGGGGGAAGTCGGGCAGCCCTTGCAGCCTCGGAGCTGTGCGCAGAGTGTGTGTGTGTGTGTGTGTGTGTGCGCGAAAAGTGTGTGACAGGAGTCACCTCACTCAGTGCTATGTCAGCTCAACTCCGGACTCTGGGTCCACGCCTGAGAAGTTGGAGAGGATGAGAGAGGGGTATGGGCAATTTCACTGGAGGCCCTACTTTCGCTCCATAGGGTTAAAGAAAGCAAAAGGAGATAACGGTGTCTCTAAAGTCTGCGCTCTGCCGACTCAACTCTGGCCTCCGAGTCTGGGGCTCCCCGGTCCACAAAACAAACTGGGAAGCTGGGCAAGGATGGCTCGGAGTCGGGCTGGGCGGTGAGGGGGGCACGTGTATGAGGGAAGTAGGAGTGGCCATGGAAACTGTTGTTGAGCGAGGAGAGCCTCAGGCGTAAGTGCCTTTGAAATTGTTACACACTTTCACTTCTCTCTTCCTACTTTGGTTTAAATGTTTGTCGGGTTCGCAGCTGGGCTCCTAGACTTTGTCGTCAGATGTGTCTCTTCGGGACTACGTTTATGGCCCTCCGTCTTTTGTCTCTCCACTTGGCTGGGTCAGTGGTAGGGGAGCCTGTAATGGACTGATGTGTCTGAGTCACCTGCTGTCAATCATTAATAAGACTTGCTTTTGTGGGGTACGCTTCGTCTTCCGTGGATGTTTGTAGTGCTCCCACACTACCTTCCAAATATGGAATTACAGGTCTCCATGTTTAGAACTGGAAAAGAGACTTTAAGTGGACCTCTAATCCAACCCTTATGTTTACAAATGAGCCCACCACCCAGAGAGGTTGTGACTTGACTGAGGTCCCACAAGTAGTAGTAAGTCTTGTGATTCCAGAGTCAGTGAGTTGATCACTGTTATATGCTGCCTGGATAATTTTCCCATTTCACAGAAAATAGTCTAATGTGGATCCAGGGACCTGGGTCCAGTGCCTGGTTCCAACTGCTCACTTAGCTGTGTGACTAAGTCTATCCACATGTATAAAGTAATCACTTCTAATTAAGAACAGTGAGAAACTTTTTCTGTTCTACCATGTATATGGAAGTGCTGGTTTTATTTTTTCATTATTTATTTATTTGTTTGTTTATTTATTGCTAAATTGAGTGTAAAAAAACTGCAAAGAATTAATGAGAAGACACTGTAACAGCTTCTTGGCTTTCCATTTTGAGGAAGTAGGGCTGCTAGGGAGAGCTTAACTCACTCCCATTTAACAAATGGGGGAATGAAGTTACAGAGAGGTTTGTCACCATCAAAGTAGATATCAAACCGAGATTCCTGTGCCCAAGTTTAGACAGCTAGCAAGTTTTTGGAGATCCTTCAAGTTCTGACCTCTATAAAAACAAAAAAACAGAAAAAAAAAACAACAAACCATACTTCCCAGTATTATGGTGAAGGATAGAGGTGTTTATTTATCCCTTTTAAAGGCCAAACCCAAGGGTGAAGCTCAAGTGTGTTAGCTATTTGTCATCAAGGTGGTATTAACTGAATGCTTCTCATTGCCATCTTCAGTCCTGTCTGACTCTTTGTTACCCCCATGGACCATACTGTCCATGAGATTTTCTTGGCAAAGATACTGGAGTGGTCTGCGCCATGTCCATTCATCATTGCTACTAGTGCTCAGTACCTTTGACCTCAACCTTCCCTGTGGTGCTAATAGGGAGACAAATACCCAGAATAAGATGAGTTCCCACCATGTCAAAGAATTAATGGATTTCATAGGATCACAGACATGGGACTGGAAGAGACTTCAGAGATCATCTCACCTCTCCCTCTTCCTTTTACAGCCGATGAAACTGAGCTATTAGAAGGACAGTAAATGACTTGTCCAAAGTCACCTAGGCTGTAAGTCACCCTCTCCAGGGAGATTTACAACTTGTTCAGAAGACAACTGAGGAAGAAGGAGGTTACTAGACTCTTGGGGCATGCCTGGGTATTATATTTATTTTGTATATTACATATATTAACTTCCAGATTATGTATAGGACATGTTTAACCCTTTTATTGTGTTTTTTTAAAGCTATAGCAATAGATTTAATAATATATTGCCCTGTTCACAAAGCTCTCTAAAGTGACTTCAATAAACCATAGATCAGGTATAGTACAAAGTGTTGAGGGGGTGAAGCTGGGTGGATGCCATATATAATATATATTATATATATCTACATATACATACGTATATATGTATGTGTGTGTGTATATATGTATATATGTGTGTGTATATGTGTGTGTGTGTGTATATATATATATATATATATATATATATATATATATATACACACACACACATACATAACTTGGGCAGGGCTTTTTTTCTTTTTTAATCACAGCTGCCCCTGTAAACATTAAACCTGCAATTAACTGAATGATGATCTGCCACCATAGTAACACCCCCTCCCCTTCACATGAAGCCATTCAGCACTAAGAGAAGCCAGTACCACCAGCCAAGCGTCTTCAGAGTTCTGTTTAAAGGTGAAATAAAATGGGAATCCAAGTGTCCCTCACTGTGTTGCTTTGCTTTACTTGTTTTTGCTCTTCTTGTCTCTCTTCTTTAGCCCGTCCATATTGGCTCTCAGCAAGTTAGAATAGGCCGTCTGGAATTTATTCACTTCTTTAGAGCTCACCATAGTGCTGATCTTCTTTTTCCCATCAGTAGCTCTTAACAAACATTTATTGTCTAAAGGCTCAAAGCCTAGCACAAACCCCTTCTGTGGAATGGGTTTAGTCCAACCATCATATTTCTTCAGGGTGATGAACATGCTCCCTGGCAACCAGCTCTTCTGGAAAAGCCTGGTCAGCTCTGTCAGGAACTGCTTGCTCTCCAGCAGCACCATCACAGCTTCTCCGCCCCCAGCTGCCCTCACCCAGGCGCAACCCTTTTATTGTTGTTAATTCGTTTCAGTTTTGTCCAACTCTTCATGACCCCCTTTGGGGTTTTCTTGGCAAAGATAGTGGACTGGTTTGCCATTTCCTTCTCCAGCGCATTTTACAGAGGAGGAAACTGAGGCAAACAGTGTTAAGTGACTTGCCCAGGGTCACACAGCTAGTAAGTGTCTGAGATCAAATTTGAATTCAGGTCTTCCTGATTCCAGGAGTGCTCTATCCATTTCACCACCTAGCTGCCCTCGTATTTAACCCTAGACTAGCACATATCTGGGACGTCTGCTGTCATTCAGTATATGCTGAAGGAAGATATTCATTTTAAAATCAGCCTGAGCAAAATATTCTTCAGTAAAAGTCTGGATTGTAGTGTTTGAAGCTAGAGATCATATCTCCTCCTGGCCCTGACTTTAAAACCAAGCCCCTTCTACTGCTGGCTCATCCTCAAACCTCCCTCAGAGCCTGGGGCCTCCCCACCCTAGGACAGCCTTCCACCCTCTCCGTATTCTGTCTACTGAATGTTTCATACTAGATGGCTGTAGTCATCTCAACTTCAGCACGTCCAGACTAGAACTCTATCTGTTCCCTCCAAACCCTTCCCTCTTCGGCATGACTGTTGCCAAGGGCACCCTGATTCTTCCAGTAGCCTAGGTTGACGACCTCAGTAGCATCCTTGACTCACCCTACATATACATTCAGTTGCCAAATTTTGACCTTTCTGTCTCTTATGTCTGTTTGTCATTTAAAGCTTTTCATAGTCTGGCCCTTCCTATGCTTTCAGTCTTCCTATAGATTACTCCCCTCTAGTCATTCTGGGGTCAGCTAGATGGCAGAGTGGATAACTGTAATGTAGGAGACAAAACATACATATACAAATATATACAGGAGACATACAACGTAGATACCCCCTTAGAAGGGAAGGCACTAATAGCTGGGGAAGGCTGAGACTGAGAAAGGCCTTCTAAAGGAGGTGACATTTAAGCTGAAGTTTGAAGCTAGGCATGGATTCGAAGAGGCAGAAGTGAGGAGGGAGTGCATTCCAGGCATGGGGTGCCCTGTGCAAAGGAATAAATGTTAGAAGATAGTCTATCACTGGTAAGGAACACTAATTAGTCTGCTGCAGGTGGACTATAGAACAACTATTTGTTGTTGTTTAGTCATTTTTTTCAGTTCTTTCCGACTCTTTGTGACCCCATTTTGGGTTTTCTTGGCAAAGATACTGGAGTGATTTGCCATTTCCTTGTCGAGCTCATTTTATACTTGGATATCTTGACAACTCAGTTTTAATTCCCTTCCAAGGTAAGTTTAAGAGCAACTATAAGTGCTTTGGGGGTTTTCTATCTATGGTCTCTTGCATCTTCTCCACTTTCCATTTAGTGAAATAAAGGCTGTCCTCCATCCAGTATGCAGTTATTATCTTAAGGGCTTGTACAGGAGCTGGATACCTACCCTTTCCAAAACCCAGACTCTTCCCCTCTTCTCATCTTCCCTATTATGGAGTATTGTACCATCTTCCTAGTCACCACTCTCCCTCGTCTCACATATCCTTTTTGTTTTCAAATCTTGTAGTTTTCTACCATCACTGCATATTTCCTGAATGTTCCCTTTTCTCCACTCAAACAGCTACCTTCTTATTTCGGAACTAAATCATCTTTTACCTCAGTGGCTCATTGTTTAGGTTTTGATGACCTAAAATGAATGTAAAGAACAATTATTTTCCTAGGTGGTGCAGTGGATAGAGCTGTGGTCCTGGAGTCAGGAGGACCAGAGTTCAAATATGACACTTGACACTTACTAGCTGTGTGACCCTGGGCAAGTCACTTAACCCCAATTGCCTCAGCAAAAAGCAAAAAACAACAACAAAAAACCCCCCCAAAAAAACACCAAGAACAATTATTTTCTATTCTGGGTCAGAAGCTTTGAGGGTCTTTCCAACCCAGATTGATACTTTTGTGACTGCAAATTAGGCCAACTTTTGTCTCAATTCTTACCCACCCCTTAGACATTGAATGGTCATTGCCTCAAACAAACTGAGACCTGGAAAAGACCTTAATTTAGAAAGCCCATGGTAACCCACTGCATCCTGGGACATGGCCACTCATCTTGACTTTGTCTTGCCACTGGACTTTGATGACTGTGGAGGAAAGAGTGAGGCTAACGACTAGTGCAGGTCTTCCTCACTTAAATCCAGTTTACTCTTAAGTCAAGACATCACTGGTCCTCTTCCTGAAGGAGGGGCAAACAGCAACCTCTTAACCTTCCCATTGGTCTCCCTCATCCAGTCTCTTCCCTGATCCATCATGCATTAGCTGCCTTGTTCATTTTCCTAATACATTGGTCTGCGCATGCTGCCCCCTTGCTCCAGTGTCTCTCTGTTACCCCCAGAACCAAATAGAAGTACCTCTGTTTGGCATTTGCAGCTCTTCATAATCAGCACCCTTCTTGATCTCCCAGGCTCCTGGAAGACATTTCATATTCTCTGTAATGCAACTACACTAGCATACTTGCGTGTTCCTCGAATAGGACGCACCATCTCTTGATTCTCTGCTTTGGTACTGCCTGCTTTTCCCTTGTTCCCCGCACTGCTTATGAATGTAATGCTATCATCTCTCCTCACTTCAACCTCATAGCTCCTCTGGCTTCATGTAAAGATTTATTTTATGTCCCGCCTTCTGCAGGAGACCTTTCTTTATCCCCCTACTTACTAGTGCCTTCTTCTCTGAGATTTCCTTCCATCTGTATGATTCTTGTATATATCTAATTATTTTCAGGGCTGCTAGGTGACACAGTAGATATGGGCCCGAAGTCAGGAAGACAACTTCCTGAGTTCAAATGTGGCTTCACACATTTACTAGCTGTGTGACCCTGGGCAGGTCACTTAACCTTGTTTGCCTCAGTTTCCTCATCTGTAAAATGTGCTGGAGAAGGAAATGCCAAACCACTCCAGTATCCAAGAAAACCCCAAATGGGGTCACAAAGAGTCAGACGTGATGGAAGCAACTGAACATGCAAAAATCTAATTATTTACATGTCGCCTGCCCAGGCTAGAATGAGCTTCTTGAGTGTAGGGACTGCTTTTGCCTTCCTTTGTATCCCCAGTACTTAGCACAGTGCCTGATACATAGTAGGCACTTAATAGAGCATTTCTTACTTACATGAACTGATGCTGAGTGAAGTGAGCAGAACCAGGAAAACATTGTACACAGTAACAGCAGCATTGAACAATGATCAACTATGATAGACTTGGCTCTTCTCAGCAATGCAATGATCTAAAACAATTCCAAGGGACTCATAATGGAAAAATACCATCCATATCCGGAGAAAGAACTATGGAGTCTGAATGCACATCAAAGCATACTATTTTCTCTTTGTCGTGGTTTTTCCCTTTGATTCTGATTCTTCTTTGACAATGTGACTGATGTGGAAATTTGTTTAATATGATTGTACATGTATAGCCTATATCAGATTGCATGCTGTCTTGGGGAGGAGGGAGAAGTTGGGGAGGGGGAAATTTAGAACTCAAAATCTTATAAAAGTGAATGTTGAAAATTTAAAATAAATTTTAAAATTGAGCTTTTCTTACTGACTCTTCCTACTACTGGCATTTGTAAAAACCTAGACATAATTATATTTGGGGTAAATGCTGTATTTTGGTTTAATGATCTAAAGAGATATTCATCTTTTGAGTTGGCTTTCGAGATCAGACTTAGTCTGTATTAGTGAGCAGGAAATGCCTGGGTCAGAGATTACTCTTGGACTTGTATTAACTCTATCAGAGGATTGTTTGGTGGAAAGCACATTATAAAAAGTTGTAGTTCCAGAATCTGTGATTTAATTGGTGTGCAGGTGAAGATCATTCTATGTTTCAGTAAATAGTCTTCATGAGTTTCTGTGGTTGGGGAAAAAAAATTCATTGCTGATTGGCCAAACTTCTGATGATTAGAAGTCTGCTCATTTTGGAGTTGATGAAACTGAAGCCTAGAGACATGAAATGATTTGCTGAATGCCATAATTAATAAGTAGCAGAGACAAGATTTGAACCCAGATCTTCTGACTTCAAATTCAGTGTTCTTTCCATTACACCAGTTTGCTCCCATACTTTGCTCCCTTAATAAGTGATGTGTTGAACAGCTAGCATAGTAAATCATGGGGCAGCTATGTGGTACAGTGATAGGGGGTTGGGCCTGGAGTCAGGAAAATTCATCTTGAGATTCAAATTCCTGGATTCCTGGATCAATTCCTGGATTCAAATCCAGCCTCACACACTTACTAGCTATGTGACCCTGGGCAAGTCACTTAACCCTGTTTGCCTCAGTTTCCTCATCTATAAAATGAGCTGGAGAAGAAGTGGCAAACCATTCCAATATCTTTGCCAAGAAAACCCCAAATGGGGTCATGATGAGTTGGACATGATTGAAAAATGACTGAACACACATAGTAATCTACTACTTCTTCCATCCTGTCTCTACCTGCCAATGAATTTCCAAGCCAAAAAGGAAGTAACTTTAGAATTCTTTGATAATTTAGTGAATCCATAAACTTGTGTATGGGCACTCCTTCAACCAGTGTAAATCACAAATCCTTCCATGCCTTTTTGCCCACCATTTTTGTCTACATCTTCCAATGAATCTTCCAAAGACAATCTACCTGATGTTTTAGAAGGCTTCCTCTGGGTCCTGTTAGTATTTTGTGGTTAGCAGTGAAGTGCTCGTTGCCCATATGTTATCCCCAACTCTCCCTTCCACATCTGATTTAATGAATATCCTTGATGGTTTTTTAACACCCCTTGTTTCAAGTAATTCATTTTAGTCATGCTTTACAGCCTACTTACACCCGCCATCCAGGCCCGTTGGGTGACCTTCAATTCCCATTCTTCTGAAATGTTGGTATTCCAGGATTCCCAGTCACATACCACTGAGAGAATATTGTTGTCTAAAAGGTATTTTCTTTTTGT